CGCCTGCTGCCTCCAAAGGTCCAGGGCCGTCCAGTCTCCAGAGACGAGCAACCACTACCAACTGCAAAGGGTACCAGCCACGGCCAAGGAGGAGCCGGGCGTCAGCAGAGGCAAAAGCAGGAACAGGGTGGACCACCTTCAGCAACCCTTAGAACTCGTCGGGAATCACACAACCCTCCAGTGGAGGGGACCTCAGAAGTCACCCCTTCCTCTTTCCAACCCACTCCTCCTCATAGACCTCCCGGCCACTCATGTCCATCACGTCCTCTGTAATCACTGTCCTGCCAAAACGAACCTCCAAATCCTTTCACAGATCACACTGCTTCTCCCTCTTTGCTCTACTGGAAACCTAACTTTCCTCAGTTTTGTTGACCTTTTACTCGTCTCAAGTTTAGGCCCTTTATTCTCCCTTCTGCCCCTTGTCCCAGGGAATGAAGTCTACCAGCCATTCCAGTGACCGCATCCGTGTGCTTCTGGCTCTCACTCCCACACTCACCAGGGCCTCTCCTTGTCCACATCCAACAACCCAATCCATGATTCACTGACTTTTCTCCAGTGACTGTTGTCACCTGTCTGCCCCGACGCCCTCTTGCTGGGCTTTGGCTCCTTCCCTGGATCCTTGCCCTACAGCCACTTTAAATGACAGTTCCTGAGGATGTAATTCTAGGCCAAAAGCACCATCCTGTGTGAGCTCATCCATTCCTAGGGCTGGGACACACCCAGGCCAGAAAACTAAGAGTCCTCCTAGACCTCTCATCCCCTTCTGTAAGCCACACATGAGAAACAGTTTTATCACTTTATGATCACATCTCATTTTTATCCATCATGAAAGAGTCCACAAAGCCAAAAGTGACCCTGAGACATCACTTAACGTACCCTTTGCTTCAGAGGATGAAAACATTAGTACAACAGGGATGCAGAAGCTGCTCTTCTTTATGATCTGAAAGTTATCCTTTGCTGAGCCTGTGGTAGTAGAAACCTTGTCTGGTCTTTGAGTTGGATTCTTGGCAAGGAGCTTCTAACACCCTTGGAATTTCCTGAACGATAAGAGTGTCTTTGTTATGCTAATGACGTGACTCATGTGGGCCCCTAGATGGCTTCAGTTTGGGGCTGGTCACCAGAAAGACTAAGTACATGATTAAAGGGTTGGGACTCTGGACCATCCCAGCCTCTGGGGAGGGAACCTGTAGAAAGAGTTCAATCACATGCCAATGATTGAATCAATCATGCCTACATAATGAAACCCCAATAAAAACTCTGAACATGGAAATTAAGTGGAGCTTCCTGGATTCTAAACACATTAATGTGCTGGAAGGTGATTCTATAAGGAATAGGCACAGAAGACCTGCATTCTCCAGGCCCGTTCCCCCTTCCAACCTTGCCCTACATGTCTCTTCATTTGGCTGGTCCTAATATGCATTCGTTACAATACAAATTATAATAATTTGTGTAACAAGTTTAGTACTTTTTTTGTGTTCTGTGAGTATTCTAGCAAATTACTGAACCTGAGGGGACTGTGGGAAACATCAAATTTACAGTCAGTTGGTCAGAAGTGCAGGTGCCCTGAGAATCCCCAAAGTGTGACTGGTGTCTGAAGTAAAGGGCAGTCCTGTTTGGGACTGCATCCTCTATCTTGTGGGGTCTGCAGCAACTCCAGATGATTGGTGCCAGAATTTAATTGCAGAACATGTGGCTGGGTTTTTACCAGAACAGAGCACCTAATGTGTGCCAGGAATGCAAGTGGGAATCATTAATGGAGCATGGTACCCTCCTGGACACCTCCTTGGTTAATTACTAACAAATAGCTCAGCCTTCAGGTCTCAATCTGCACAAATTGACACCCCCTGGCAAGGCCGAAGATTACTTTAATGGTGGATGGTGTGGCCACTGAGCAGCCACAGAAGCCAATGGTGGGCTGCTGCTAGGGCTGCCTCTGATGTTTTCTTTCCATCTTTTGAGGAGCACTGCTTTGAAATACTCTGTGGTAGTTGAGTGAGAGGGCCTTAATTTTTGTCCTTAATTTTTTTTTTAGTAGTAATCTTCAGAAAGTTTTTTGAAAAGTTTCCCCCAACAGAACAGAAATAATCTTTACTTTTCCCATGAACGTTGTACATACAAGATAATTTCAGAGCAATGCTTCCTCACCTGAGAGCAAAATTTCAGCACTGGGAAAGTCAAATATGGCAATAAAAAGAAAGGTTAAGTTAGAACTCCCTGAATAACCTGAAACGTCATAGCTTCGGTGTCTGACGTGAACTTCTACTGATGGCTGTGCCATGACTTCACAGAAATACAAACAGGACAGGCCCTGAGGGGCTCCTAGTGAATGTGCTCAAACTCTCAAAGCAAAACAGCTGTGGAAATGTTACATTTTGGCTCCTTAAGTTTCAATTTTCTTAGTCAGCTTTGAAAATGCAAAAGACCCAGGCTGTAATATGGCCCTGCTACTCAACCACAGAGCATTTTTCAAAGCAGTGCTCCTCAGATGCTTTTTCCCCCCTCCTCTAGTGATTGTGTGTGTGTGTGTGTGTGTGTGTGTGTATACACATAACTTAAAAATGAGGTGGGAAGCACCATTTGAAGGCCTAAAAAGTCTTTTCCTTCTTCCCACAGAAAATAAATGAATCATACATAGAATCTAAACAGAGCTATGCATTTTTAAGTTTTAGAATGAAAACTGCCTCAAAAACAGAATCATTATCCTATCATACAAATCACTCACACTTCTAAAAATATCAACAATTTTACTGAAAACTAAGATGCAAAGTAAGTTCATGTGTGAAGTAAAAAAATTATTTAGTATGGCAGAAATTGTTTTCTTAGAAACATTTAGTTCCTATTTTAAAACAAGGATAATGAATACAAAGCAAACAAATCATACATATTTTACTATGATAGGTATGTCTTTATTGTGCTTTGAAGGTATACTGAAATGCTTCAAAAATCCAAACAGTAGTTGTGTCATGGAGCAAAATTTTCCATAGAATTTGGCAATGAAAGAGCATCATTCTGTTCCATTTTGTCACCTGTCTGTCCCTTTATCCCTAATATACAAAACCCATGTCTCTTTTTTGAATTTTAGAAATATTGATGTGGATCCAAATTCTGGGGAACTAATGCAAATATTCATAAGGTTTACTGGATGTCTGATCCTCTCCATAAAGCTCTACATTAAAATCCAGGAAGAGTTATCCAAGTTGTCCTCACCTTGCAGTTACTCATGCAAGGTGATGACCAGAAATCCCACGTGTAAGGAGACATGTCTGGGAGTCTATACTGAAACAGGGCTCTGGGAAAGATCAGGGCTGAACATCTGTCAGCTGGCTGCTTTGGCAGTCACGAATCCTCACTTAGAAGTTCAAAGTTGTGGGCTTTTCTGTGAGCTTCACCAGGTGGGAAGCTAGGATAAGGCAGGCTACGTTAGAGGACACGGGCGGTCATCTCACGCAATTGCCTCATTTCACACGTGAGGAAACCAAGTCCCAGAGAAGCAGAAGGACTTTCCCTAATGTTCCCTAAAATTTCTGCTCAAGGTTACAGTTGCAGTCAGGCCTGATTTTCTACAGATACTTTGTGGTCAGCCTTATGTTTTCAGAGCCACGGACTCAGACTGGTTTGAAGAAAGGCCTCTTCCGAGTGTCCTCAGGCCCTTCCCAGTGTGGCTCATGTGCCTCTCCACCTGCCTCCAGGTAAATGCTTTGGTTGAGATATCAGTTCAGCCCTGGGGCTGCAAGAATTGAAGACTGAAGGGTGAGGCTGGGGTTGAGAGAGGGATGGAGAGAGGGATGGAGAGGTCAGGGAATGGAGAGGGGGCCTGGGAGGAGGTGGTCAGGGAAGGGCGAGAGATCTAGACTGTGCTGGGGGTAAGAGAGCATGGCACACAGTCTCACAAAGCTGGAGCCTGGACATGTCTGTTAAACACTGAGTAAAAACATCCAAGTGTGTCTTCTCCCGTGAGACAGTGTGACGGACTGCCACACTGCCAACCGTGAGGGCTCTGTCCCCAATTTACTCCTAGTGTTCTCCATAATCTTGTCCCTCAAATTTATAGCATCATCAGAATAAAAGTGATGAATCCAGTTTGGAACACAGCCTTCATCCCATCAGAATTCTGAGCATAGAGCCTTTGATTGCAGGCAGTTGAAATATGCACAAAAGACTGGACAAGCACAGGCTGGCAGACCAACGGAGCTGTGCATCAGAGCCCAAGATTGATGAGATCGATTCTGAAGCCTTTCTGCCTTCATCTTCTAGGTTATAGATGTCAGTGATTTTTTTTTTTTTGCCATAAGCCTCATGTTTCAAACTGTATTCTTCCACAGTTATTGCAGGCATCATTTTACATAACCCACAGAAAATGAGTCACTTTATGAGAAAGTAGCATTTTAGAACTTGTGGTCTGCTATAGGTCTAATTCAATTCAGTTAGCTGGTCATGGAATAAAAATCTTAAAAGATAGCTATACTCAAAGTTAATAAATGCTTGAAAAACCAGTAATCCAATTTTATATTAGCTATTAAGTGTATCAATAAAGCACTAAATTTATCAATAAGCATTACAATGACTTATTTTTCAATTTTATATTATTAAATTTATTAATAAACAAGTGATATGTTTTAATATATCAGTCTTCTAGAGAGAAATACCAAAATGTTCCAGCTAACAGATCCCTGGGAGGCAGGGGCCAGGTCTAGATCTTACCACTGAATCCTCAATTCCCAACCCAGTACCCAGCACATGAATGTTTGTTGTATAAAGGTATAGACTGGTGACAAGATGGAACAGAATGGGCATTTTCTAATCTCCCCCCAAAACAATTTCAACTTGAATTAACCAAAGAGCCTATTTTGAAGGGTCAGTTAAATATTTCATCTGCTGAATATAACATGATCCAGGTTTTATCTAAATTGGTCTCTTAAAGCTTCCTTCTCGTGAGCTGTTATCAATGGAGCATCATAAGAACAATCAGGCAGGACCGAATGACCACCCACATGCCTCACCTGCCATGTCGATGGCAAAAGGCCTGTCTGCTCTCCAGCCGGTGTACCAGCCAACGACCTTGCCGTTTTCCACCAAGGGACGTTCGTAGCGTCGCCCACCAACCAGGCCCACTGGCCAGACAGAAACCTTGCGCGTGGTTCGCATCTATAAAAGGGGGAAAGAGGTGAGCTTTAAGTTTCCTTAGGAAAAAAAGGAAGAAAAGGAATGTGATCTACACAGAAGAAACGAGAGGGGGGTGGTGGTAAGATCTGAAGGTTTCCAAACAGAACCCTTCTGTTGATAGACCACTGCCCTGATTCATTATCGTGTGGCTGCTCAGAACCTTAGGCTTTGTACTCGGTCATAAATTCAGCTGGTGGCTCAAGGCTTAGCAGAAATAAAGTGGTGTCCATACCTGAACATCACTTATTTGAAGCCAAGCTATAACTATCAAATATTTTCAATTTGTTTCAAAGTTGAATCTTTTAAACCATACTTGGCATCTTCTGAAGTGAGGTCTAATACCCCTTTAGGAAACTTCGTTACTCAATAAGAGCAAAAACTCCACTCAGAGGAGCCACGGGAATGTCCTTTCTCCCAATTTTTTTACTGCTATAGATAATGGAGAAATCTTGGCTGGGGACATTAATAATGAAATACGGATACAAAACAGACACTAGGCATCCTCCAGAGTGACCAAAGAAAACCACGCACCCAAAAAATCTGCCTGCCTTTCAAGGGCAATTGGGCCACACTAGACTTGGACATGGCTGCATGAGGCAGTCCTGTTGTCGAAGTCATTGTAATTTCAACACCAATGCTCTACCTTTTATTTCCTATAGAACTGAACTGGGTCATGATCAGTTAGCCAGTGGTTAAAATAATGATTATCAATCAAGGACTTTTTTATGAAAGGAAGAAAAATGATATAGTTGGTAAAGATTTTCCAATACAGTTGAAATGAAAATCATACTATTAAGGAGTGAAAGTAATTAAAAGCTCCCATTAGTCAAGCATCCCAATTTACTTACTATCAATATCCCATCTTGTTTAAAAAAGAGGATTTAAGGGCATGAAGTATTCCAGGTAATGAAGATCTCGTGGCATTAGGCTCCCTCAAATTTGAACTTACTACTTTTATAGTCTCTATCATTTTTTCAATCAGTTAATTACAACTGTCTTGTTTGGCTCACACTGACTTCGCTGATGATTTTTTGAAAAGCTCTACTGAGGTACAACTGACTGCAGAAAGCAGTGAAGCAGCCTGAGACTGTTATCTTCAGAAAGACCTGCTTGCACGGCTGGCCCTTGGCTGATGTCTGGGAACTCGGCTTTGGAAGCATTTCCTACACCCATAAGGTTGTTTTGCCTGGGGCACTGAACAACTGCTTTCCTTCCAGGCATCTGAAGTTTCAGGGGTAAGGGGTGCCTACATGATCAGCCGTCAATACAAACCCTCAACTCTGAGTCTTACATGGGCTTCCTTGGGCATTAACATTGTGCACCTGTGGCTACATTTTCGCTGTTCTGTAAGATCCCTCATGGGAGAGACAGAATATAGGAAGCCAGCGCATGGCTTCCTCCAGACCCTGCCTGGTGTCTTTTTCCCTCATTGAGCCAACTGCGTATCCTTACTGTGTCACTGAAGTTGATCTTAGCCATGAGTACAACTCTATACTGAATGCTATGAGTCCTAGTAAATGACCAAACATGTGGGTGGTCTTAGGGACCCCTGAAATACAGGCTGAGTATCACTTATCTGAAATGCTTGTGACCAGAAGTATTTTGGATTTGGGGTTAAATATCTGCAAATACTTAACCATCTGAGCATCTCTACTGTGAAAATCCAAAATCTGAAAGGCTCCAATAAGCATTTCCTTTGAGCGTCATGTTAGTGCTCAAAAAGTTTGATTTTGGAGCATTTTGGATTTTCAAATTAGGGATGCTCAACCTGTATTGATATAGAATAAAATGCACTTTTTAAAGTGTAAAACTTGATACATTTTGACATATGTATACATCTATGAAACTATCACTATAATGAAGGTAATTAACGTATCCAGCACCCCCAAAAGTTTTCTTATGCCCTTTTTCGACCTCTTCCTCCAGTCCCTCTCCACATTCTCCATCCTCAGAAAACCACTGCTCTCCTTTCTGTCACTACATCAGTGTACATTATCTAGAATTCTACATGAATGAATGCAATCATACTGCACGGTGTGTGTGTGAGTGTAAATATGGCTTATGTGACTAGATACAATTATATGGAGATCTGTCCATCTGTAATGTGTAACAGTAGTTCACTCCCTCCTATTACTGAATGGTGCTCTACTGTATGGATATACCCCAGTTTGTTCACCCCATTCACCTCTCCATGGACATTTGCTTTTGGCTGTTACAGATGAAGCTGCTATGAATATCTGTGTACAAGTCTGTGTGAATTTCATTTTGGGGGAGGATAAATACCTAGGAATGGAATGACTGGATCATATGGTAGGAGTACATTAACCTTTTAAGAAACTGCCAGATTATTTTCCAAAGTGGTTTTGCCATTTTATATTCTCCTCAGCAGTGTATGAGAGTTCCAGTTCCTCCACATCTCACCAACACTTGGCATGGTCAGTCCTCAATTTTAGCAATTCTAATAGGCATTAGTATCTCATTGTGGTTTTAATCTGCATTTTTCTAATGACTGGTTATGCTGAATATCTTTTCATGTAATTATTGCCATCTGTGTCTCATCTTTGGTGAAAAGTCAGTTCAAATCTTTTGTCCATTTTTAAAATTGGTTTTTCTTCTATTGAGTTTTGAGAGTTATTTATTTTTCTTCATACAAATGTTTTATCAGATATATGATTTTATATATTTTCTCCCAGTTTGTGGCTTCTCTTTTCTTTCTCATAACAAGGCTTTTGAACAACAGAAGTTTTTAGTGTTGATGAAGTCCAATTTATTAATTTTTTCTCTTATAGATCATGCTTTTGTTTTTGATCTAAAACATCTTTGCCTGATCCAAGGCCTCTAGGGTTTTCTCCTCCTTTCTAGAAGTATTATAATTTTAGGTCATATATTTAGATTATAATCTGTTTTCAGCTAATTTTCATATATGGTATGAGGAGCTGATTGAAGTTACTTGTTCCTCCCTCTTTTTTATATATGGATATCTAATTGTTCCAACTGCATCTAATTGTCCTGGGACAAATTTTTTTTAAAGACTAAGATCATGGAAAATACATTCCCTGACCACAACAGAAGGAAATTTTAAAAACTCATAAATGTGTGGAAATTATACAACAGTCTCCTAAAGGCAATGGGTAAAAAGAAAAATCACAGGGAAATTAGAGAGTACTTTGAGATAAAGATCAAAGTGCAACATATCAAAATTTAGGATATGCAGGGCTCATGATGTGCTCAGAGGAAAATTTATACTTGTGAACACCTGTATTACCAAGAAAAACCTCAAATCGGTAATGTAAACTTCTATCTTAATAAAATAGAAAAAGTAGAGCAAAAGGAAATATAAGTAAGAAATAAAAAAGATTACAACAGAAATATACAAAATAGAAAATTAAAAAACAATAGAGAAAATCAACAAAATCCAAAGTTGATTCTTTATAAAGATCAAAAAAATTTGCAAACCTTTATCTAGACTGACCAAGAAAAAAGACAGAAGACTGAAAGTACTAAAATCAGAAATAAATTAGGGGCATTATTACATTGTCGTTATGGCTTTTTGTGGTGGTAAGATTGTTTCCTTCTCTTTCTCATTTGCATTTTTGTTTTACCAGTGGGTTTTATTTTCTTGTGTATTCATGGGAGAGAATATTGTTTTTAGGTTCCAGATGCAGGACTTCCTTGAGGATTTCTTGTGTCTCATTCTGTTTTCTTCTGGCCTGTAGAGTTTCTATTGAGAAGGCTGCTGTTAGTCTGAGAGGGGCTCCCTTATAGGTGACTTGATGCTTTTCTCTTGCTTCTTCTTTTTTTTTTTTTTCTCTCTTTGTCTTTGAGCTTTGCCAGTTTGACTATAATGTGTCTTGGAGAGAATTTTTAGGGGGTTGAATCCGTTTGGGGATCTTTGAGCCTCCCAAATCTGAAAGTCCATGTCTGTCCTTATACCTGGGGAGTTTTCCATTGTTATTTTGTTGAATAGGTTTTCCTTTTCTTTTCTCCTCCCCTTCTGGAACACCCATGATTCAAATGTTTGTACACTTAAGTTTGTCTGCTAGCTCTCTAAGATTTTCTTCATTTTTTAAATTCTTTTTTCTTTTTTTTTGTCCACCTGGGTTACTTCTGAAAGACTATATTCAAGATCAGAAATTCTTTCTTCTGCTTGTTCTAGCCTGCTGCTTAAGCTTTTGGTTGTGTTTTTTATTTCGTTGAGTAAATCCTTCTGTTTTTTTTTTTTTGTCTTTTGTCTTTTTCCGTGTCCGGCAACGGATCGCAACCCTCAGTGTTGCCCCCGTACCGGACCGGGGACCGGCAACGGGATTGCCTCACTGCGCCTCGCTCAGCCAGTGAGCGGGAACCGGTCTGTATGTGGGATCCGAACCCTTGGGCGGGAGCGCCGCCGCGCTTCCCAAGCGGCGCACTTATCCAGTGCGCCACCGGGCCGGCCCGAGTAAATCCTTCTGTTCCATGAGTTCTTCTACATTCTTTTCTAAGGTATTAAACTCTTTGTAAATTTCCCCTTTAATATCCTGGAATTTTTTTTCTCGTTTCACTATGTTGTCTGATTGAATCTTGTCACATCTCTTGTGAGTTTCCTTAAGATTGTTGCTTGGAATTCCTTTTCAGTCATTTCAAGAGTTTCTTGCTCTATAGGGCCTGGTATTTGAGAATTACTGTATTCTTTTGGTGGTGTCATACTTTCCTGGGTTTTCATATTTCTAGTATCTCTATGTTGATGTATGGTCATCTGGTAGATCAGTCATTTCTTCTGTTACTCTGGAGTGGGCTTTGAGGAGAGAGATGTCCTCTTCTTTTTCCAGTCTCCGCTGGTTACTTTCCTCATGTCAATGTAGTTGATTGTCCTGTGGGTCCCTGCACAGTGGCTGTGGCTACTCCTGTGGTGTCAAGACGCTTTTTTGGCAGCAGTGTCTATGGCGGTGGCTGTTGGGGGGCCAGCCTTGTGGAAGTGGTATTTTTGGTATGCTTTCTTGCCTGCT